TTTAAAAGTGGTGAAAGAAAACCTTATATGTTGGAAATTATGTCAAGAAAAGTAAATGTATAAAATGTCACTTTCAATTTTTGTGTTGTAATATTAATATGTGAAAATATGTAAATAGTCTTAGGTTAAAACCTCATTTTAGGTCTTGAATTATTGTACGAACTCTCGATTTAGTTCCTAAACTTAAAAAATCCTTAATTTGGTTTTTATTGTTTACTATTTTTATCCTAATTTGGTCCTTCCGTTAAAAATTTACCTATGTGTTCCATTATTTGACGTGACAAAGATGACATGTAAAATTATTTTAACACGTAGGATATACAGCATAGCAAAAATAATGATATGGCAAGAAACACCTTAAAAAATTTCCTTCTCTTTTTTTTGTTTCTTCATTTGTTTTTTCTTTTTGTTGGGTTCTTCCTTTTCCTTTCCTTTCTGCTACTGTAAACCCTAACACCTAAAACCACCTTCAATTTTCCTCACCAAATCAATTCATCTTCTTCCCTTTGATTTTCCTCACCTTTTTCTCTTCCAAATCTGGTTGTTCGTCACTCATTGCTTGCGTGCTTAACAGATCCAAGACCACTGCAAATCAAATCTCAAAATCTACCCCAATCCACTAGAATATGGCTCTTTTATGTAAGAGGAACAAAAATGATTGTTAAAAGCTTCTTCAAGGGAATGAAGAAAGTATTAAATTAATGCCCAAAAAATAAAAAAGATGAAATATAAAACTTTTTAAACCTTTGTTTGTTTCTCGAGAAAACAGAGGGAAAATGGATATAAAAAGGAGACATGCACAAAACCTAAGGGGAGAAGACGATGAAAGATTCAACTGCAAAGAATGGTGAATTTGAGGAAAACTCAAGTTAAGGCCCCGTTTGATATAGCGGTTTTGGGGTAGCAGTTAGCGGTTTTACCTAAACTGCTAAATATATATGTTTGGTAAATTTATATATTTCGAAACCACTACAACTAAAGTGTTTGGTAAAATTTTTATTTAGCGGTTTGAAACTAGCAGATAACGGTTAAGATCTAAATCGCTAGCGGATTGAAAAAGTTAGTTTATGTAGCTTTTTGTATCAAACCGCTAATTAATTAAAATGTTTTTATTTTATTGACAAATTTATCAATTTTAATTTTTTAGTTTGTGGTCACATTTTTTAATTAATAATTATCTAATAAATTTCAATTTTGTTTTTTTACCTTTAATAATATTAAGTGATTATAATATTTTTTTTGTACATTAATTTATAATT